CAGCACCCCGGTTCCTGAATTGGATGATCATCGATTTCAATTGGATGCGCCACGCTTGGAAGCCACCCCCGATGTGCCACTGAGTCGGCAAAATACCGTCCCGCAGGCTTTCAATTCCGAGACGCCTCAGCGTCCAGACCTGCTTAACATCGAGGATGCGCTTCGGGAAGCTGGCTCTCTATCGCGTGATTTCGAAACCGCGGTAGTTGATGATGATCGATCAGACAAGGATTTCAATGCTATGGGACGTCGCTTTTCAGTTGATCCTACGGGGAACATCCGCCACGGCCGTACCTATAGTCGTACGCACCAGGAAATTCCGAACTTGTCGCGCGAGTCATCTGTGTCTGCTCGGTCGACGTCTCCGCCCAATTCGGTCGAAGCATTCGCAGACCCGCGTCGCAGAGAGCGTGCGAATACTTTGGAAAGCCATGCAGCCCCAGACTTGGAAGCCATCCTCCAGCGCACGGTATCTGGTGGCACACATCCTCGCCGTCCAACCTTCAGCAATGCGAGTGTGGTCAGGCCGCAGCCTGGAGATTTAACATTGGAGCCGACCGATGATGGCTGCCTGCCGACGTTTGAACAGCCGGGCAGAATTCCAGTGATTGACTACGAGGAGCTGGAGGAGTTCGTTGCTCTCAATCAAAAGGCGAAACCTTCCGCAAACCGACGCAAGCACAGCGTCAGCTCGCAAAGTCAGAAGCCGCGGGTCTTTTATGACCTTCGTCCGGGTGCTCAGAAGTCCGAGAAGGACGCAGAGAAACGTTCGTCAAGCATTGAGCGTTCGTCAGAAGACATTTTGGAGTCGACTTTGGACAAGGAAGAAAAGAAGGACTTTTCCGAAGTCGTAAACGAAAAGGAACTGTTGGCGACCCTGAAAAACACAAACGAGCCTACTCGCTTCGGATTCTTCTCGTCGGAGGCACAGAGTACCGTGCATGCTGCCGAGCTGGGTGACCTGGTTTTGCCGGGAGACACCTTCCGAGACCTCTTCCAATTGGGTCCGGACGGAGGTGTCTGGTGGCTTGATGTCCTAAACCCCACTGAGGATGAGGTGGGAGCTTTGTCCAGAGCTTTCTCTATTCATCCTTTGACAACAGAGGATATCTTGACCCAGGAAGCGCGTGAGAAAGTCGAGCTCTTCAAGCAGTATTACTTTGTCTGTTTCCGGACATTCTACCAGGTGGACAAGGCGGACGAGCGTTTCATGGAGCCAGTCAACTTTTATATGGTCGTATTTCGTGATGGGGTGCTCTCGTTCTCTTTCACCGAAAACCCTCATGCCGCTAACGTCCGGAGGAGAATTGGAAAGCTCCGTGACTATGTATCGCTGAGTAGCGATTGGATCTGTTACGCCATGATGTAAGTTTTAGTAAAGATGAGCATTGCGCTGTGGACAAAATTGACTAATTGCCTTCTAGCGACGATATCGTTGATAGTTTTGGGCCCGTCATTCGGGAGATTGAGGTCGAGTCCGAGGCCATCGAAGATCTCGTGTTCATCGCGCGTATGGATGACTTCGAGTCATTCTTGCCGCGCATCGGTGGTCTGCGCAAGAAAGTCATGAGTTTGATGCGCCTGCTAGGAGGGAAGGCGGACGTTATCCGGGGCTTCTCCAAGCGCTGCAACGAGCAATACTCGGTGACACCGCGTGGCGACATCGGTCTCTACCTGGGTGACATTCAGGATCACGTCGTAACCATGATGTCCAACCTGGCGCATTTTGAGAAGATGCTTAGCCGATCGCATACCAACTATCTCGCGCAGCTGAACGTGACTAACTTGATGCTGGGCAATCACGTCAACAAAGTTCTGAGCAAGGTGACGCTCATTGCCACCATGCTGGTCCCTATGAACCTGATCTGCGGTCTCTTCGGAATGAACGTCCGCGTCCCTGGGCAAGATGCGGCAGGACTTGGCTGGTTCTTTGGGATTCTTGGGGTTATTGCAGCTATTGTCATTCTCAGCGGAGTAGTGGCTCGCTGCTACAAGCTCGTGTGAGCCTAGCAGGGTGAGTTGGGGGGAGGTTTGGTTTTGTCAATATGATCATGCACGTAAATATCCGATGGACATGAATGGGTCAGCTTGTTTGTAGTAGTGAATGATATGCATATGCATGAAGGAAATATTTGTTCCTAAGCTACGAAAACATACCGTAGAATTTAAGCAAGGGAGGGTGGGATGGATGCACGAAATTGTTAGTAGTATATGCTGAGGCTTCCGGAGGAAGTGGAGTGGCGGCGCCAAGATAAGCTGCGATTCGGAGCCTCCAGGCAACCGGCAAATCCCACGCCTTACGAGAGTCCAGACTCTTTTCTTCTCCAGCCAGCATGACCTCAGGCCCATCTTTCCTAATTTCAGCGGCCAACCGACTGGGATTTCCAATTCCAGGTTGAACGGACTCACGTCACACGGGGCGAATGCTGTTTGTGTTCATGGGGTAGCCCCCGATCGCATCTCCATCCCCGTTGGCACTTGCATTTCCCCTCACAATTCGGCTGGCCTCCGCCGTGAGAGGAAATTGTTACGTTCCGGCACAAGACAGCCCATGGACGTCGATTGATGCCTTTCCTTTCGCAATCAACCATCCTTCAACCATCCTGAATGTTCGTTCGCCTTATACCGCCACGCCTACAGTGCCGCCGGCGTGCGACTGTCCGCGCGGTACTCGGATGCACAATCGCCTTGGCCATCTGCGTTGGCAGAGTGACTGCGACTGCGACTGCGGATGAGAATGCCCTGCCAGATCCCTCAACCCTGGCCTCCACTAGTCATGGCCAATTCCTCTTCGGTGAGGCTAGTCCGGAATTCGCTTTCCCACTCGCAGAATACAACGGCTTGGAGTTCGAAGATGCGGTAGACGAAGAGGGAGATACGCGCGGACTCGACTTGGTTCGCCGGGCTCCCACTGGGGTGACATCCCTCGGAAATAATCAGTATCAGAATGGCACTCTCAAGATGGGCGAGACGGAGTGGTGGTATTTCCCCGTGAATGGCGATGAGACCAACAGCACCTCTGAGAATAAGCGTCGCGATCTTTCCAAGCGTTCCACCACCGTTTATTTGTCCCTCACGGCATGCTCGAAGCCCAGCCACAACAACTCGGATTCCACTAGCACAGCGGCCGTACCGCAGCTGACAGTCTACGCATCTGAATCGATAGAGAAGCCTGGGCCTGACAAGTCCGAGTCCGACCAGACAATCAAATCAGCGGAGGAGGGCTATGTGGGCATGACCCTTACGGCGAATGGTGATGTCTATGTCGGAGTGACAGCTCCTAATAGCACTGAATATTCTGGTTCTTTCACCTACCAGATTGCGGCCTCGACAGATGCTTATTTTCATAGCGTCGACGAGAGCGATCAGTTCATGTTCTTAGTTGATTCGGACACTGGAGCAGCGCTTCTGACGACGAGAAATCTCACCACCACCGATCTTACGTCACAGAACTACAGTTCCTGGATGGACAGGACTCCTCCATACACAATGTTCGCCAACAACATCAACAGTTCGTCTATCTCTGGCTTAGAACGGTCATTCTGCGCTCTCGATACGCTGGCGCAGATTGGGAAGAGCAAAGTTGAGGCGAGCCTCACCACCCGGGGTGCAGTAGACAGGCCAACCGAGCAGTTCTACGTCACCGGTCTCAACAAAACCTCCACCTACTACGGAATCATGGCTCGTGAGGGCAATTCCACCAGTTGGGGCAATGGAATCGTGGGAGGTGGAGGTAAAGTATGGCCACGCATGAACTTTACAACCAAAACAGGTGAGAGACAATGAGCCCCAATGCCACGGTCTAAATGTACCCTAACGAAGCACCAAACAGATGACAACTGTGCCGTTGTATACGACCTGCCATTCTGCTCCGAAGTCGCCTACGCAGTGCCATCCAACCCCTCCATCAACATGACCGAACTCCGCAGTATCTACGACGACAACGCAGCATCCCTATACAAGAACTTCAACTACTCCCTCCAACAAGTCCAATGCAACACCTCCAGCGAGAGCATGTTCTCCCTCGCTGTATCCTGCCACACCTGCGCCGAAGCATACAAGCAATGGCTCTGCGCCGTGACAATCCCCCGATGCGCAGACTTCTCCAGCAACGCCACCTACCTTCAGATCCGGAATGCAGGCCAGTCCTTCCTCAACGGCACCTCGATCACCAACTCCTCCCTCCTCAAAAGCCCCGCTACCAACAACTCACGCAACCCCCTCATCGACAGCAAAATCCGCCCCGGTCCATATAAGGAAGTTCTCCCCTGCCAGGGCGTCTGTCATAGCCTTGTCCGAAATTGTCCTTCGATTTTAGGCTTCAGCTGTCCGGAAGGCCCGCGGGCGAATATGTCGTACGGCACACGCGACCCTAATGGTGACATCACGTGCAGTTATCTTGGAGCAGCATATTACCTTAATGCTGTTTCCAGTTTGCATGAGAACATCTGGATCTCCCTCTATATGGTGATAAGTGTTTGGACTTTGTTCTGGGTCCTTGGGTAGTAGGAGTTTTTCGCACGCAAATTAATTCGAATGAGTGTTACTATTCCCCAGAATCTTTGACTTCCTTTTTCTTTCTTTATCTTTTTATTTCCTTAGTCGACATGCATCGGGTATGTATAGTGTGGCATACATAGATTGTCTGCTTTATGTTTGGAGCGGGCATAGATGGTGGAGTCATAATGCTGGATCACAGAAGCATTGCATGTGCATAGCTGATACGAAGATGCGAATAGATACCCCCTCTGCGTAAGGATGGCTTGTATGTTACAGCCTGGAGTTCGTGTCTGTTATTTTCACCTAACGTGGCCCCTAGATGAGAAATGTTTTGAGACGTAAGCTGTAAAAATACACTTGCTTATAGTTGGCAGGTGGGCCTGTCTTCTCTACACCCAAAAAGTCTTTACACTTGCCTTGATGTGTCTCAAACACTAGACCAAAGGCAGCTAGCTAGTAATAAACTTCACAATTTTGAATTAGTATATACATTGCCATATGACAGATGCCCAAATGTAGACGGCAACTGTTGTAGTAAAAATGTCGAACCCTTCTAACCATTAACTCATGATAGCATATAATCCCCTTTCATGACGCCGCGATAATCCCTGGTATCTAATAATGTCAAGTCGAAACACAAGCGCTAACTCATTTGGCTTTCAAAAGGAAAGAGAGAAATTTATATGAAAGCAGACACCACATTATTTGCCCCGTTTCGGGGTCGGTGTCCACATGTTCCTCAGAGATGAACTTGAGGACGATGCCGCTAGACGAGGCGTACTTCCCACCTGGTGAAGTAACTTCTGTGCTGCGGGAGTCAACGCTTTGTTCGTCCTCCCTCCTGGCGTAGCTGCACTTGGGGTGCGCAAACCTAAGTCCAGTCGTGGGCTGCTGGCGAACCGTGGCGTTACAGGGGTCTTTGTTTCGCGAAGGGACTTCTCCGCTCGCTTAGACCTCGCTACGCGATCTACCATGCGGTGGTGAATGTCTTCTCGTCTCCGGTTTTCTTTGATCTCAAAAGGATTCGGTGTGGCATCACTACCGCCAAGCAGGCGAATATCATCCAAAGAAATCGCAGAATCGTTATTGTCATTTGATGAAGCGAGGGTATATTCAGGCTCATCCTCATCCACAAAGGCATACCCATTCACTCGTGGCGTCTCACCCCCTGTATATACTGCTTCAGATTCGGTGGGGCGAGGGTGTCCGGCAATAGCGTCTTTAATGGCCGATATCGAAGGTGAGGGCGGGGGTGCATTTGTGGCAGATGACGTCTGCTGGACGCTCTCATCTGGTAACCGTGTGTTCTGAAACACTACCCGCTTGGGCCCTGCGCGCGATGATGCTTCGGCTTTTTGCTGTATAGTTTCATATGAGTCCTCTATGGAAGAAGGCGCAAACATGAGCGAGTTCTCGGGTTGAGTCTTCCAGGTATCTGGATTTGCAGGCCGGGCGTCCAGGTCAGTCTTTATGGCCACCTGCTTGAGCTGATCTGGGTTACCCCCTTGTGCCTCGATCCGCTTAGCTTCTTGCCGCCGATGCGCAATCTGTCTAGCAGTCGGTATTTTATTCCCACTCCACAACCATTTATATCTCTCGCGGTGCTTTTCATTTTGTTTATCGAGCAGCTTGTTGAACGACTCATTATCTTCACTCGTATATTTGGCCTGGAACTCTAGCAGCCCAAGGCGGGACACATCCGGTATCGTAGCATGGTCGACGTTGGGTGTAGTAGATGACGATGTTGTTGACATGACTGACATCGGTGTATCTCCACCCCAGCCCGTCGGGGTGTCTTCAGGGCGTCCCGAATTGGTGGCTCGTGGTGTCATATTGGCTGATCCGGAATGCGATCGAGCTCTTCCCGGTGTCTTCAACAGGTCGGTCAATTTTTTCTTGGAACTTGCGATCCATTGTTTGTTTTTCGAATCAAGTGCATCCAAGTACTCCTGCTTCACCTGGGCTTCCAGGAGACCGGGAAAATAATCACGCGCGATAATCTCCGACAGAGCATTGGTGTAGATATCTTCGTCCAACACAGTGGCCGGCCGCTTGATACGCTTGGGTGGCGGCGGCGGGGGCATAAGGCTGGTTTCGCTTTGACGCTTGGTCAGAGCCTGCGAGTCGGCAGACGACATGACTGGTGATTGCGGGTGAGACAAAGACATAGGCGTAGAAGTATCGAAGAAGAAGATTGCTAAATGATGAAGAGGCGAAGGAAGAAGGAAGACGACATGCTCGTCTGCGACCAAGCGTGGATGACGAACATGGAAAGAGCGATCCCCGATATCAGCAGAGGAAGGAGCACACTACTGGCAGAATATCCAGACCGCCCTGGTTGGCGGTGAGAGCTGCCGTCACATGGCGATCAGGTGGTCTGGTCTAGCCTGATGCACGTGGGCTTACTTGTTTCAACGTCTGCTACTGCAATTCCCAGTACTTGAAAACTGAATCAATGAATAGCGCCATTCATGCTATAGTGACAGTAATATCAAATGTTATAATCATCACTTTTTCCTCTCCACGGTTTGCCCGCGTGTAAACCTCGTATCAAACAACTCTTCCCAGACAGACCCAGTTATCCCTTCCTGCTCTATCTATATACTGACACAGACCTAAATCGACAATGGATGTTGAACAACACAAGTGCCACTGCAATTGCAGCAACTACCCAGACAAAAACCGAGACCAACAAAATGAAAAATATAAATCCGAACGAATGTTCTCCGACTGAAACCCCGTTCACTGTCCTTTCCAAATCCTCCATTGCCAGAAAAACACCCAAGATTTTTTCTTCCGATGAAAACAGTCGCTGAGAAATGCACCAGGAAATGCAAGTGAAGAAAATCTGAGGAAATAACAAAGAAAACATAAGCGCATGGCCCGCAAGATTGGGACCGAATGACGGTTCAATAGATAACATTCATCGCAGAGAAATCGAAACGCAAGCCACCACAATGAGGGGAAAAAAGAATCATCAAGTCGTTGAAGAAGTTCTATAAGTGAACGGATGAGGAACGGAATGTTGCAGAATGCTGAGAACAAGGGGTCTGTGATGGATGCAAGTTGTCGTCGGGTTGATTGCAGTTCAATTGGCTGCAGGAGTGGGGAAGAGAGAATAGGATGCTCGGCCCTTGCGCCGAGGGGCGGCCCTAGAGGCAGCATCATTCTTGATGGCTCTGGCAATCAATGGACCTGCCTCCACTTCAGTGGTGGACTTGGCTCTGTCGTGGATGGAAGGACCCACGGTGGACGCATAGCCTGAAGGCTCGGGGCTTGCGTCGCCATCGGCTCGGAAAAGAAGCTGGGCTTCAACTTCGCGGGCCAGGCTCTTGGTCTGCCGGTGATGGGAAGATTCGGGGCGCCCCATTCCTGAAAGTTCACCTGAGAGTCTCTGCTCAGATGGGTGGAACTCACGGCTGCTTGCCAAACTGTGCACCAGATCAGGAACACTAGCAGTCGATACGGAGGAACGATGTTTGCGGACGACCGACGCGGCGCGGGACAGGATCAAACTTTCCTGGGAGTTACACTTGCTGATGGGGGAAAAGCTGCTCCGGGGAGACACAGACTGATCCATAGGCTGGATCACACCTGGCTGCGAGTAGAAGGCGAAGTGTCGGTCTGACTCCGTGTCCGCCGTCAAATACTCATCGTACAGCGAATCGGGGCTAATATGTTTCCCCAAGGTAGGGGCAAACCTCACAGGCTGAAAATAATCACTGTCCCGCTGCGTCACAGCAATGCCAGTGTTGTCATCTAGTGTGGAGGTAACCACTACCTGTGCGCTGGGGACATGATCCAGGTCCGCAGCGGGCAAGGCCGACGCGCTCAGCCGCATTGGTTCAAACATCGCAGTGTTCCCATCTGCGCCAGTAACCCCGTGTTCCGCATCGTCTTGTCGAGCCTCGTCAAGTGAACTGCGAGTCCAGTCAAAGTTGCAATTCGACTCGGCAGCATGTTCATAGCAGTAGTCAATGTCTGCGTCCCAAGACTCATATATAGTTTCTTGGATGGCTTTCAAGTTGACTGAGGATCTCCTTCGGACTGGCTCCCGAGCCATGGACTCTTGCAGTGGTGCAATACGATCCTGTGGAAGGGTGGGGGAACCCAGTGCCTCGGCGAACTTTCTTGACAAGTCTTCGGCGACAAAAATGGACAAATCGGACCTAGGGCCAGCCAGGGAAGTGTTGGATGGAGATTGCGCCTCAGACAGAGGTGGAGATCTTGACATAACAGGCGCGCGAGGAGAGACCTCGTCAGTTTCGAGGCCGGCTCCTTCATGCCAGGGGGCCGGCTCCTCTTCTTCTGGCACGTCTTCCAAGTCTGACGACAGAGTGGGTAAGGACATTGACGAGGTGCGGGCATTCATCACTTCGTTGTTGACGCTGGTCGGGAAGGAATGGCCCGAAGGAGGCTGGAACATGTCTTCCATAGGGATCTGCGGCCAAGCAGCACCATGTTCTACATCCTCGGTATGCGAGTATACATGCTCCGGGTATGTCGGTTGGGTTGACAGACCCAGGATCTCGTCAATGGCGCGAGGAGCTGGCTCAGGTAATTCAGGGGAGGATGCCAGCCTCGGGGAGGAGGCTCTCGGCGGCGGGCTGGTTGACCCAACTCTAGGAAACCTTGGGACAGGCCGCGAGAAGTTCTCAATGACGCGCGATTCTCTTCGTCCTCTGAGGTCGCGCTGCTTGGGACTCACCGACGAGGAACCACCTGGAGATGCTGGTGGACTAGTTGGCGGAGGGGGAACAACGTCGTCACAGCCAATGGCCGTCCCACACTGAGTAAGATCCTCCGTGGAGAAGTCACGGAAGTGCAGGTCCTCAGCACGAATTCCTTTCAGGTTGGTAACAGGCCTCTGAGAGGCACGAATGGCCGAGAACTCAGTGACCAAGTCAGTCTCCCGGGCTTTTTCCAGCGATTGGAATTGGGACGGGCTCGTATGAGTCAGATGGTGGAAGTCAAAAGGATCCGAGATGAGATTCTTCAGCTGGTCATCTGTGGCGAGTCCATTGTGTGAGCATTGAATACAATGTCGATAATTACAGCGCAATCCGCATGTGACAGGAGTGACTTACGCGCATCACTATGGCGTGACTTGTTCCGGCTGAAGATCTCCGAGACTTCAAAGCGAGGCTTTTCACGCTCCATTTCATCCTCCTCGTCCAGCGTGGAGACAATGTGAAACTTACTTCCCTGACGACGGAGGATCCGGCTTCCCCGCGAAAGGAGCGACTTGGTCACGCTCTCGGGCCGTTCATGGCGGACACCAGCCGCCGAGGTTGCCCGGTCATCATGCGAAGGCAGCGACGCTGCATCCACGGAAGTCATGGAAGACGCGGGGGAACGGCGGGAAGAGGTGGTGGAGTTGGTGGTGTTACTGCGAGAGCGGCCACTGAACACGGACAGCCGCTTAGGACTATGCGCATGTGCAGTTGACCTGGAGCGGGTGTGGACCGAATATGGTTCGGGGGACTCGTTATGGGGTGCTCTGGCAGAGGGACGGTCCAGATCCTGCTGGGACATGGTGTGAATGGACACTGGCGGGTGGGAAGCCTGCATCAGGGGAACAGAGGGAAGGTATGTTGACTATATATCAGGGAGTCCAGGTGGGCGATGACCGAATCGTGGGGGCGGCCAAATGAGCAAGGCGAAGCAAGTGAGCGACCGTTAAGCCTCCGATTGTGATGGGATGGTCCTAGCTTTGACCATGGTAGGGAAAAGATGCCGCACACCAGAGAGCTGGGGAGACACAAGGCAGTCGAGAGCACCGACGAGCTGAAGATTGGCGGGTTTTCAAGATCGAGGTTGAAAGCGCATGCCCCGTGTCGAGAGCCACGGAAAGTTTCTTGAGTGTTTTAGATTGAAAGTTGAAACGGCTGCGGGAAACGTATCCAAAAATTTGGGTCACAATTGACAAGAAGGAATGAGATGATGGGGGAGGGGAAAACAAAAGGAAAATGGAAATGATAGATCAATTGCAAGAGGGGAAAGCAAAGAGAGAGAGAGAGAGAAAGATAGTGGAGAGAGTACGAGTAAGTAAGAGAAATCAAGAGAGAGCGTGTGAAGAAGATATGGAGACAACAGATGTGGGCAAAGGATGGAGTAAATGAGCCGTAAAGTAAAGTTCCAGCCGTCGCTGTCGCAATAACAGTTTAGGGAGCAAGTGGTTTTTACTGGACGGCACAAACTAGTGGCCGCAGTACCAACGAAAAGGAATGATGGGTCGGGACTAGTCCGTAGATAGTGAAGTAGTGAAATAGTAAAAGTAGTAGTAAGTAGTAAGGTATGGGATTAAATTCTGGGGAAAACGAGGGTAAAACACTGGGTGAACCGGGAAAAGACAACGATCACAACCAGCACTATAAACAGAGCAGCAACAAACTACTACGAAACCCACACTAAGATGAAGGGAAAGAAATTGAGACGGGGTAGGCTAGAACAGAGAAAGAAGAGACAGAGAGAGTGTGAAGGAGAGGGGGGGGAAGGGAAGAGGACTATACTAGTAGTAGAAATTGTAGATGGAGGGAAAGGAGCGAGACGAGACGATCATCAAATACTGGCGATGTCAATCCCAGCCCAGTTCCAGACTTATTTTACGGTACACCAACAACACGGGACGGCAGGGGTATTGAGCGTATTTTCCTCCTCCTCCCTCCCTCCCCCTCTCTCCCAACACTGCATCGGATGCCGTAAGGTAAACAACCGCTTCAGCCAGCAGGGTCAGTCAGTCAAAAAAGAAAAAAACTCAAAATGGTAAACCTATGTTGTTATTTTATTTTATTTTATTTTTATTTCAACTTATTTTATTTTTCATCTCTGTCTTTTCTTTCTTTTTTTGTTTTTTTTCTTAGCATTTTTACTTTCTTGTCCCGCCCACGTTCGCCGTTGAAAAACTTTGTCTTCTTTTCTTTTTCTTCCTTCGGGAAGTAAATGGGTGAATTTTCCATTGGCCCTGCCCGAGGACATTTGTTTTAGATGTAGGATTAATACTGATTGACACAATCATTACCGGTGTCAGATATTCTTCCGTTCAGCCAGCGGTTTAAGGTAACAGTCAGCCACTATGATACTAAATACTACTACTACCTCAACTATGCCTGAACCTCGCTCCTCGGCCCCAAAAAAAGGCCTTACGGAGTAAACAGGTAATAGTTGTTAACAAGTCTCGATTTATCATCCTGAATCCTGGGATCCGCCTTACGGCTCTTTTCCCGATAGCAATCCTACATAGCAATCGGCCCTATGGAACCAGAACCAAGCTTGTGCGTGTGTATGCTGTGTATGTGTAAGTAAGTAAGTAGTAGTATGAATTGACATTGACACCTTTCCCATCTGTGGTGTCCCGCCGCCGCAGCTGCAGTAGCAACATCATCGTCATCGTCATCTTCCCCCAAAGTGGATATGGTATATTTAAAAAAAGCAACATGCGTTTGAGATCATGATCGAAGGGAAGATGGAAAAGGGATCATTCCCTTCTCCTTCCTCCACCCAAAGAGGCAACCGAGGGAGGAGGGGGCGAATTGAACAAACCTCCTAAGACTAACCCACGGGATCGTTCGATCCCGAGGCAGTTGAACCAAAGATAGACACTATCATCCTTCGTGGGGAAAAACGACACGATGCTATTTTGAAGGAATACGCAATAAAAAGAAAAGGAATTATTTTACCCCCCCTCCCTTCCCCCTTTCGCACAGACATTCAATGGCTCGACTGCCTAACCCGTGAGCCCCCAATTGACCCGAACTCTCCTCCCCTATTAACCGTCTAGTTAGTCAATTGCCCCTTGAACTACCACCTACGCAGTTCCCCCAACTCCAAGAATACCCAAGTGAGTAATAGGTATCACCCAAGATGGGAAAGGGGACGACAGACTCGGATACAGAAGCAGAGACAGAAGAGAGACAGTGTGAAGACGAGCGGGACTTCAACCGAATCTATGCTCGATTGCTTTCCCTTTTCGGTCTTAATTTTAATCACTATTATCTGTCGGGGTCCATGGATTGCGCCGTGCGCTGATCGATCGGGTTTTTGCCTAGACATGGACTCGAGATGGACAGAGAGACACACAGAAAGAGAGAGATCCCTCAAGGCACTAAAACTCCTCCGGTGCAATAAAACAACACACATGGGCTTCCAGCCATGGTTCTAGGGTTTTCCGTCGAAACGACAGGGGGGATAAGAAAAAAAGTAAGAGAAAAAGCAAACATGCTGATTAGCGGTCGGAAATCGTCTCCTCGACGGACACACACATAAAGCTGTTGTTGTCGTTGTTGCTTATGGAATGATGAGCTGAGACGGTAATCTAATGAATGATATGCGTTCTACCTTCCCCAAGACAATTAACTAAACGATGCCGCAATGACCTACAGAGTCCACTTTGCTACAGATTACTATCGATTATCTATTTCCCCAAGGGCCCAGAATCAATAACATGATAATTAATCTATCTGACCGTCGAGCCCCGAGCTCTCAGCTCGGGGCTCTCGGTCAGACGCGATGATCTCACGGGGACTTCCGTTGGGCGAGTATTGGCGGTGGGTTCGATGGAACCACAAAGGGCTGATAGGGAATCAATTGATAGGCGATGGATGCGATACAATGTGCAATGGGATCATGGATAATCGAAGTCATGCATGGACTTCGGCCATTGTCTTGGAGAATTTTTCTTTTTTTTTCACCGGCTGAAGTAAGACAAATCTATCATTGGCACCTTTACTCTCCGGCGGACTACTCTTGCGAAAGAGAGAGAGAGACAGAGGTCAAAATATTCGCGCGTTTGTTCGGGGTAAACTCCATACTGTCAGCAGGCGAGCACGCTGATTGACGGGTTCATTGTGGACATGCATACGTACCTACATGCATGCATGCAGCTACTGGGTAGGTACAGACAGACTTACGGAGCACAGTGCCTAGGACTACCTAGTGCATAAGCAGTCCTGAGACTCTATGAACCCAAACAGCATGACATCCGAACAGCCTCGAATTTGACCGAGGGATGTTTTGTTCCTCCTTTCCTGCCTCTCCCTTGTCCCGACAATACGAGCGAGACGTCAAACTCAGGCACCACCGGATCTTCATTCGCTTAGAGGGGAGACGTCGGGGCCCAGTTTCAACGTTTCTCTCCACCGGGCAACAGAGGTCGTGCTAGCCCAAAGTTGCAGTGTCTTGACTGGACGCCCGACGGAAGCTTTCTCGGCCTGGCTGAACCTTGTGAGCGCCAGAGCGGATCCTGTGTGTCGGGATAAGCTGGTTGACTTGCCAGATTGGTTCGGGACCCAGAGGGAAGCCACGGGCTGGAAGGGGACGCTTGAACCATGGTTCCGGTAAATGGCAATTGGGTGAAAGGTTGCATCCGCGCCAGGCACAAAACAAACATTTTCCAACATGACAGGTATAACTCAAACTCAAAAATCATTATTCTCATAACTGCTAGCCAAGGGTGAGAATAACAACATATACACATACATTATACATACATACATCTACAGCCACAACCCACTAATATCTACTAGTACTTGCGCTCTTCTCCATTGCTGTACTAACTACTGGATCTACCTGCTGGAATTGGAGGACAGCTCCGACGGGAGGGGACGGTGGCAGACGCGAACGGCGCACAGAATCCGCCCAAGCGGTGGTGGATTATTATATCCACTTAACGTGGTGTGAAATCGACTCATCATATTAAATCGACACGCGACCATCCTGGTCAGTCCCCATCTTAATAGAGACAGATTCATGCAGTGACCAGGATGTCCGGACTTGAGAGACCCAGTGAGGATATGGACAATTAACAGTAGTGCTCCTCTCTGTTCCACCGCGTGCGGTTCAGTCTTAGGTACCGAGGGACACCAGGGAAAATTACCACGCGAGCCACCTGCAAAGTAAATAGTAGTACTGAGTACTGGGGACGCGTTGCTTCCCAGCAAGTGTCATGATTGATTGATGGTTCAGTCGGTCTCCGTCTCCAATGGGTCTTGCCTCGGGCCCGAGATGACAGAATTTCCACATGTGCTTCGGCCGTCTCCAACCGACAAAAAAGACGTTGGATGAATGGATACTCTCCCAGCGTCCGTTGAAAGTCAATTGGAAACGTCATATCAGCTGTCAATTGCTACTTTCCCCATGGTCGGTTATCCTTGGTACCGGAGACTACGGACTCTACGGGGTGGACCTCGGAATCTGGAGGTGAAAGGAACCATTGCAGGATGAGAAGGAGGGGAAGAAAAGAGGGAGGAGAGGGGAAAGGATTCAGATTCAGATGGGTTACTCGATTGAGTCATCCCAGATCTCAGTTCTCAGATTGAGTGCGAACACACCGCTAATATGTTCTCATCTTGACTAACCCAGAACTTGCTTATGCGCCTCTTACATGTACCTGCATCTCTCGTGCAGCCCGTCACGTTTCCCCCTTCACGTTTCTTGCTTTTTTTCTTTTCTTGTTCTTCTTACATGGACCGGCGGTCTAGATGTGCATCCTGCTCGTGGGAGAATCTTCCCAGCCAGCAGGAAGACGTGTCCAATATGGAGTTCAGTCACTCCAATGACTGGGGCAGCTGTGGACAGGAACACTGCATGAGAATCGGTAGGCATCCGCCTGCTTCCAGCCGTCAATGGCTACTAATAATAATGAATAATCCCGACGTAAGAAGCAGTTCTTCCGGTGCAGCTGAGGCTCGTCAGCTGATCCACCGAGGGTCTTTTTTCCCTCTCCTTACGTATATTTTACTGAAATACCCTTCTCCAATCAGGTATTGGAGATACCGAAACAGATACGGATACCCACCAGTCGCACCGCCCATACCATACCATACAAGTATAGGTACTATACTTATCCTCCTCCATCTTTGTGCAGATACCCACAGTAAGGCCATAATGGAGAGCCCCATTGAGAGATAATATATCACAGATAAGAGAAGCCACACACACAGAGAGAAAGAGGGTCGCAGAAAGAGACGGAGCAAGGAAGAAAGAAAGAAAGAGAAAGAGACTGACCGAAGGGAAAAAAAAAAACCCCTCTCAGACATACGCACACGCACAACCATCTCTACAAAGAAAAATCCCATCACCAAACCAACAATTTCCCTCACACACACACATCTCTCCCCCCAAAACTAGCCCCCATCCACATCTCAAATTCTCAAACAAAACAACTAACCTCACACATCTCGCTTCAGCCCCAAAAGGCAGGCAGGCAGGCAAGAAGTAACACCACACCCAGCCTCCCAACTACTAACTACTACCACACCACTGTCTCAGATCCAACCTTATTAACCACCACTATGTCCATCCCTTTCTCTTCCAAGTTACACCTATCCTCCCCTAGCGTGTAGCACCATCTAACCCAACCCACCCACTTCCCCCCTTCCCTTCCCTTGCCCCCAACTTCTTTCTCCATCGTTCGAAGGACTCCTGACGATCCCTGGTGTCTAGACTCGAGACTAGAGACCATAGGTTGTAGCCCAGCCCTTTTTCCTTTCGCTGTTACTGTGGGTGGTGGGGGTCGTGGTGCTGGTCTAGTTTAGTTTAGTTTTAGTTTAGTTTTCTACTTAGGTCTACTGTTTTAGTTTTGTACCGAGTCAGTACTAAAACTAAACCAATTTATGACTTGAATGAGATGATGGATTGGGGGGAGGGAATCGGGGGTTGGTTTCCTTGATTGTTTGTTGATGCGTATCGTATCCCGTATGCGTGTATTTATTGTATGGGTTGGTATTTAGCTTCTATCTATATCTACTTCTATTTCTATACTCTCTATACATAGGTCGACTATATATATGATGCTACCTTACTTGTTATCTAGTAATATAATGTAGGGATACCAATTATACTACTACTTTACAGGTAGAACACGTGTTGTACACGTTTCATATTCAATTTGACTTATTGCACATCTAACAGCATATATACTTGCTATACTGCATGCTTAGTACTTGGAAAGGGTCAAAAAGGCTCTACAAGGAGAGCCATGTACTAAATACTACTACACAGCACATCCATAACAGCATCAATGGCTCATTTCATGCTTCGATCATAGTATAGACAAATCCTGCCCCGCCCCCCGTAGTAAGTACCGATATAAGTAAGTGGTAGCAGTAGTAATAATATCTGAAGTATCGAACATCCAATCCCAACGCCATCTTTTCAAATACATGAATGGAAAGTTGGAATCAAAGGGGGACAAAAAAATAAAAAACAATATAGAGAAAGATAACAAGCAAGGCACAACCATCCGTAAAACTACATGTTCCTTTCTGCTCTGCTCTCCTCCCCACCCAACAACAAGCTCCTAAAGAGGTAGTAGGTAGGTAAGTAAGGTCTAGATCACTCACTCACTTATTCACTCATCCTCCTTCAGATCCATATCATCATCACCACCATCGTCATTGAACAATCCATCATCATCGTCTTCGCCCCCATCGCCCCCAGTTGTGGCCCCTTCGCCCCCTCCTCCAGCCACCGCCGCCCCATTATCCTCATCCTCATCCTCATCTTCATCATCATCAGCCACTCGTCGACTGACCTTGGCCCGACGACGCTGCACCACATCCTGCTCTTCTACTTCCTCGTCATCATTCGCCCCAGTATCACGCATCGCCTGATCCTCATCCCCGCCCTCCTCCTCGTCATCCGAATCCACCACCATCTCACTACTCTTGTACTTGCTCTGCTGCGCCTTACTACCAGACCGACGTTCCAGACGCCGGCGCTTCTTCGGCGCCGCCGCCGCTTCGCCATCGGAGTCCGGTTCCGAGCTCCTCTCCCTGGGAGGAGAATCACCTCCATCATTGATGAAGTCGTCCTCATTGCGCTTCTTCTTGCGCTTAGTAGACGTCGTCCTCTTCTTGCGCTTAACCTTAGCACCCGTCTCCGACTCAGTGGTAAGTTCCGCTTCTTCACGCGCACGCTCTTCTTCCGCGCGCTGCTCCGCCAATCGCTGCGCTTCCTCGATCATGCGCTGCCGCTCCTCCGCTACGCGCTGTTTGCGCTCGCGCTCTGCTTCCTGCGCCTTGCGCACTTCTTCTTCGCGCAGGCGCTTTTCGGCTTCACGCGCCTCACGCGCTTGTTGGAGCTTGGCGGCGTTCTTCTCTTCGTATTCCTTTTGGCTTTGGAGCGCGCGCTCGAGTTGCTTCAGGATGGTGCGACCCATGTTGGCACGCTGTTCCAAGGCACTGGATGGGTACGGTGGGTTCTTGGCTTGAGCTACGCGGTTGAAGGTCTCCACGGCTTGTTGGAGGCCTTCGGCGGCGTCTTGGACGTCTTGGACCGTCTTTTGCGTTTCCGGGAGGCCGTAGGTGAGGGAGGCGATTTGGTTCTGGACGAAGGCGACGTTGAATTCGAGGTGGACTTGGCCCGGTGCGACGGAGTGGGCGCGCTGCGCGTAGTCGAGGGCGGTTTTCATAGCCTGCAGGTTCATCTCTTGCTTGCCCTTGGCAAGCCAGACGCGGCCGAGGCAGGCGAGGATTTGTGCGTCGCGGGCGCGGTCTTTGGATAGTGCGGCTTCGTAGTGCTCGATCGATCGGGTGTATTGGCGGAGCTCGGCGTAGACGTGGCCGAGGTTGAGGTAGACGCTGGCGTCGCGTAATGTGTCACGGATCTTGGAGAAGATGTGCACGGCGGAGGCGTGGTCCTTTTTGTCATCGACAAGGGCGATGGCGATACCTTGGGCGGCGTATGCGTTGCGAGGGTCCAGTTGGAGGGCCTTGTCGAAGAATTCGACGGCCCGCTCGTACATCTTGCGCCGCTTTTCTTTATCCTGGTCGCTGTCGCGGCGCATGTCGCGCGCTGTGGACAGGTGGATATTACCCATGCCCGTCAGGGAGTATCGGTCGTGCTTGTCGTAGTATTGCAGGGTGTGTTTGTAGTGGCGCTGTTCGTGGTCCTCGGCCAGGTTGGCTGCCCGCTTCTTGGACTTGCTGAGGTACCAGCCGAACAGGGCGCGCACTTCCAGGTTGGTCGAGTCGGCTTCGTAGAGCTTGGCCATCTTCTTCGGGCCCTCGTCTGTGGGGCTCTGGCGCAGGGCGATGTACGTCAAGCGCGCATTGGCTTCGGTGTAGTCAGCGTGACGTTCCAGGAGACCCTGGTACACCTTCTTGGCTTCTTCCGGCATGTCGGCCGCCTCATAGGTCCGGCCCAGGTTGAAGCTGATGGTGGTGACGAGCGCGTCGGTGTCGAGCTCGCTTTCCTTCTCCTTGGATCGGACGCAGGCATCCAACGCTGCTTGGAACATGGTCCGGGCACGTTCGATCTTCTCAGCCTGATACAGGAAGCATCCCATGTTGTTGAGGAGTTGCGGGGGAAGGTGGACGCGGAGAGCTGCCTTGAGCTGCTCTTCATCTTCGACGCCTTCGGGGCGCTCCTCCTCTGCGACCTCTGCGAGCTGCATCTCCTCCAGCTGGGTGAGACACTGCATGCTCTTCTCGGGAGCGCTCTGCTCGTACAGCCGGGCCAGGTACACCAAGACGGACTCGTCGGGCGAGATCTTCTTGGTCTCGTCCTTCCAGAGGGCGCGAACCGATTCCAGAAGGTTGGTGGCCTTCTTGATCTCAGCCGACTTGTCTTCCTTGCTGCCGCTTCTCTGCGCAGCGAAGACCTCCTCCGCATGGAGCGCGCCGAGCAGAACCATGCATTCGGCATTCTTCGTCTGCTGAATGATCTTCTCGAGGCGGAACTTGGCTCCGTCAAAGTCCTTGTTGGACACTTGCATCTGTACCGTGCCGAACTTGGCCGGGAGGTATCCCTTCTCACCACCGCCACGAGCCTGGTCGGAGCGGTTGTAATACTCCGCAGCACGCGTCAGGTCGCCTTCATAGTGGGACTTCCGACCAAGGAGATACCAACCGTCGCTGGCAATCTGCATAACATCGGTGTGTTCGATGGCCTTCCGGGCCAGGGTCTCGACGGTGGAGTAAGCCTTCCGGAGGAGGAAGTACCCGCCAAACAGAGAACAAGTCATGGGGTATTCCTTGTCCAATTTGAACGCCTTCTGCGTGTACTGAGTCATTGCTACCTTGTACAATGAACCGAAGGCCGGGTCTGTCGTGGCATGTCGTGAACTGTCGTAGAGATAGTATACTGCGAGGAGAATATTGGCGACCTTGGAGTCTGGGTTCTGTTTCGCAACAAAAAGTCAAGCGGTTAGTAAACAAGAAACTGGTACGGGTAGAATCTGTGTGGAACCCACCAACGCCAGAGCTCGCTCCCAAGCAACCTTAGCCTGCTCTTTGAAGCCCAACTGCCACAAGCAACTGCCGATACCAATCCGCGGGTCGGGATCTGTCAGACTGGGCATCTTCATCAGAACCTTCTGGTAGCCTTCCAGGGCCTCGGCGTATCGGCCAAGCAAGTATTGCGTTCTCGCGCGCCCAAGGATGGCCATGACATTCCGACCACCAAAAGCCTTGGACGACTCATCGAAGCACTTGAGCGCCTGCCGCAGCGATTCTACCCTCTCGGATGTGTCAACGGTGCCCGGGCGAACAGGACGGGGTGGATGTAGCGAGGCGCGCAGCAGCGACAGGACACCTCGCGCCAGGAACAGAGGGGGGAACGCCGGATTCAGTCGTGAAGCCTCGTTCAGAGTCGACGTCGCAAGTTGGAGATAATGATCCTTCGTCTTCGCCTCGGTGTACAATTCTCCCTCGGGTGCAACGCGGGGGGCATTCCGACTCTTCAACATCAACAGCCAGCAAACCCATCCCAGCAGGCCGAGTTTCTCTTTCGTGGCTCCATGAGCGACCGACGCGAGACCTTTGTTTAAGATGTCGATGGCATGATCGAGTTGCTTCTGCTTGGCGTATGCCAGCGCGATCGTGACCCAAAAGTTCTTAGCGGCCTTTTCGTTCTCCAACAATGTACAGAGCTCGGTTGGGTCATCTGGAAGAATCTCTAGGCTGACCTCGACTTCACTGTCGAGGGTGGACGCGGGAATGTCGATGGCGGAGGGAATGTCAGAAAAACGGAGATTGGGCAACGGGTTGGCCGCTGAAAGAGAATCGCCATTCGTGCCATTGGCGTGGCCATTCTGAAGGGACGCCATGGCGTGTGCGGGCACTGCGTTGAGCAATGTGTTGTGTTGTAGATGGGGCAATGGGAAGGATTGCGACTGTTTCGGAGAGGTGAAAGGAGCTTGGCTCGTAGTTCAGCTCAACTCATGATCGGGATGAAGCCAAACTAGAGCGGGGGGTAAAAAGATGCGGTTGAAAGAAGTGTCTTCTTGCCGGGTGACTAGCAAGAAGCGCGCTCCTGAAACTGTGGCAGTCAGAGGACAAAGCCTGTGGTTGCAGCAGATTGAGATCGATGCTTTCTGTAGCGCTCCGGAGGTTTGGCATGAGAGACAGAGAGGGAGAGAGAGGCTGGCCGGGCCGAGTTTACACCGCCACCGCCCGCCAGCTGTGGCTTGTCATTCACTCACTGGCACTCTCCGTATGTTTGTGTTTACATAGTGCCAATTATTTGAATGATGTATTCAAATCATTAGAATATGGTGGAGAATTAATATTATAGCTATAGATGGCATGCAGAGGCTATCATACGCTGTGTTGAAATTTTGTCAATAATTAGTGTTTCACGTAATGCACCTGCTCGGTGCTATATATGGATTACACTAGAAAGCTATATCGATATCGTAGAAGAAGAAATCAAAAACTGCCCCAAGACCACGTCCAAAGCAATATAGTGGAGGAGAGAGGCATCTATCCAAGTGAGACCCATCACGCCAGTAACTGAAAAATAGTCATAATAATACTCTAAGCGCATCTGCTCATGTCATGCAACGGGTTGGTTAGAGTGTCGGTCATAGCACATAACGGCAACATCGATCCACGGCCAAGAAGGCATTCCCACATTAGAATCCCAGGAGCTTGGGCAATTTACAGAGGAACACCGCGCCTAGAAGCACCATGAATATCCGGCCAACCTCGGCCCAGTGTCCCAACCGCACATGTGTCTCAGCATACCCTGCAGCCGCAGCAGTCTTCCGGTCCTCGAATCCATGCCCAACCTCGATAGACCCAGCCAGCTCGGACGGGAACCTCCCTGTCTCGTAGTACTCCTCAAGCAACTGATCCTTCTCGGTCCAACGCTCGCGGAGCCACGAGTCAAACTCTTGCTGGTCATCCAGAGGGATCTCGGACACGGCAAAACGTCTCCAATGCATATTGACCGAAGTGGGCGGTCGCCCCTGCAGATACGTCGACCGAAGGGTAAAGTACTTGTCAGGTAGATTACCCTTTCTGTTGAGGAAAGTAGTTAGTGGAATGCTCATTCGCTTGCAAGCAAGCGCATCGAGTACTTACGGAGGTCCTTCGTAGGCTACGGTGCAGTCATAGACCCACTCCACTGTCCCGCGCAGCTGCTGTAGACAGAAAAATAAACCAGTGGAGCGGGGAATCAGCTCATGCTTCAAAGGGGAGAGTCCCTGCTTTGCGGCATACTCTGCACTCCGCCGCCTGGTGTTGATGGATAGGTTCGTCCCCTCAGGAAAGATCAGAAGCCACATGGGGTCATATTGCGGGGACCCTGACTGCGATCCCGTATGCTGAGTCTTCAGCTTCTCCAATCGATGTTGCAGACGGGGCTTGTCGGACAACCATTTGCGAGCCATGAAAATAAAGCCGTAAAAGGTCATACCCTGGCCGATAATAGGAATGTACTTCAAGGATTCCTTAAGGATGATGAAGATGCGGCCGTGCATCGTATTCGTGTATGCCACCCACCACAGATAGATCCAATCAGTATACACCTGGTGATTGGCTATGATGACCAATCGCTCTGGGAATTGGGTCTTTAAGCGCCCATCCTCTGCGACGTGGACCTGACCCCGTACACTCTTGTCACCGCTGACTCGCACAAAGGTAGGACAGCCCCATTGAGTGAGAGCCGTGATGACCAAGCCAAAGGACTGCTTTGTGTATGCCATATAGGAATAATACCAATCCTTGTTTATCACGTATAGAGGGGAGCCGATGACCTGGGTCGCTAGGATGGCAACGCAGCAGCAGTTGAACCATGTGGCCAGGAGCAAAGAGCGGAGAAGCTGCATCGCAATGCCATGCTTCAAACGGGGTTCCTCATCTTGACTGTCGGAAGGCTGCTTCTTCGGAGCGGCTGTGTGATTCAGTTGAGGGTCATGCTTTCGTTGTCGAACCTCGGAGGTATCCATGATGAGAATCAGTTGTTGGCGACGAGGCGTTACGAAGGGACTTGCAGGCCAACTATATAAGGGAGGATAAAGTTCTAGAGATAATGGAACTGGATCGGGCACTGATTAGCTTTCCCACCCTTGAATCACGCGAGCAACCAGATGCAGCACACTGTACCAGGAAAAGCGGTGTCTGCCGGAAGGCCAGCAGTGTTTGTTGTAAGATCAAGAGGGATCGGAGGACAAAGGGACTAACGGAAGCCGGACCTATACCGGGGAAGTAATGATAATGTGGGAGATGTAAAAATAAAGTAGATTCAAGCCATGTTTTGGGGGAAGAATACTTGAGAGGGAGAGAGAGAGAGAGGAAAGACGGGAGAGAAGTTTGGTTCCTGTCTCGAGGGAGCAGGAAGCTTGAGCCGGAGCACAGCTCTCAAGTGTCTCAATAGTGTGTGGGCGCATGATCAATGATCTCCAGTCAAAAACCACTACGTCAGTTGGCCCGGCCCTCCCCTCAAGGCGGTCAGCGGAGATCCGGGGGGTCTCGATCGGCATCACGCTTGCAGGAGTCTTTTCGACGCTTCGGAGATAGATGAAATTTCTCCCCTGTGCATGATTTTCATTTCATTCCTATATATGTTTCTGTTTTATGGACCAGAAGAATCTTACAGAAATTGGGAGAATATAGATGCAGATGTCTACACCTCCCAACTAAACCTGCATGTCGGGTCCCGCGCAACTTTCTCTCATATGCTGCTTTGGAACAATGAATCAGACCTAGATTGATAATGTGAGCGCTCTAGTCATATCTTAGAAACAAGTCTCGAAGTGAGCTGATATCATTCTTCTAGAAGAGCGTGCATGGTCTTTTTCGATCTCATCAGCTACTAAAAAATGTATTTTGCGAGTATGCGACCACGGCTTGCTCATGTCGGGCCTCCGGTTCGGATGCTTTGGTCACGGAACTTTTCCTCCTCCTCACGACGTTACGAGATTAGAGATGTTGCAACTCTACCGAAACGACTGATACCAAAATACCAAGGTGTGCGTCAACGCAGTGTCGTCTGCGAAATATCTTTAAGCTCTTCCTGGTATGCTGACCTGCTTGTGCGCCCCGAGCAGAATCCCAAGAGGGCGATCTCCTTTCCCTCCAATGGCCAGCCCCCCCGCGGAATATCTTCGTCGTGAAGAAAGACTATTCTCCGGCCATCACTGCCTCTCTGATTGAATTTGCTAAGTACGGAGTCCCAAAATCGGCTGACCGAGAAGTCATGGATGCTAACCCCTCACCGGCAATGCAGTCATGCGACATCTACCTACCCATCGGCCTCGATCATTCTAGAACCCAGTGTCGCAGAGGAAATACACTCGTCACTTCAGTCGCCTGTTTACACCGCCCCTCTCGACCAATTACGACCGGCATTGCACGATAAGGTAGATCTCACCGTTACTCTCGGGGGAGATGGTACCATCCTACACGCCTCGTCCTTGTTTGCCACGTGCTACAACGTTCCGCCGGTGCTGTCATTTAGCATGGGAACATTGGGCTTCTTGAGCGAATGGAAATTTGCCGAATACAAGCGCGCATTCCGTGAGGTATACATGTCAGGAGCCGGCGTTGGGGATCGCGCGACAGTGCTGGGAGACTCCCGGCCGGCCTCGGCCGACGAAGCACTGGATCTGGAAGCGAATCCTACTGGATGGTCCTCGGTACGGGGGAAGTCGATGGGATTAACGCGCGGCGCCCGAATCTTGATGCGCAACCGACTGAAGGTTGGGCTCTTTACGGCAGACGGCAAGCCAGTCCAACGGGAATCCACATCAGCGGCCATGCCAAACGTCTTGAATAACCAGGGAGTGTACGTAATGAATGAGGTGCTTTTGCATCGAGGCAAAGAGCCACATTTGGCGGTGCTGGATGTCTATGTTGGGGGCCGGTTTCTGACGGAAGCCGTGGCCGACGGAATCATTATCTCGACACCGACAGGTAGCACAGCATACAGTCTGAGCAGTGGAGGCAGTATTGTGCATCCACTCGTGCCCGCGGTTCTACTGACACCGATCTGTGCGCGGAGTCTAAGCTTCCGGCCCTTGGTGCTGCCATCCAGTACTCCGATTACCCTCCGACTGAGCGAGAAGAACCGGAGTCGCGAGTTGGAGGTCAGCATTGACGGGGTGAACTTGGGGCAAGGATTGACCGCGGGAATGGAGGCACGAGTATGGGACGAAGAGATGCGACATGGCAAGAATGAATGGCAAGGAGGCGTGCCATGTGTCATGCGAAGAATCACCGGTGGTGAAGCACACGATGGATGGGTTGGAGGCTTGAATGGGTTGCTGAAATTTAACCATCCATTTGGTGAGGAACGCTGATTCAAGTACTCACTATGATTGACTACACACCACATATGCTTGTACAAACTAGCGAAGTGTATGTGTGGCCTGGAAGAGGAGGGTTAGGAGTTAAGCATGTAGCATAGTTAATGACCAAAATCTGTATGAATAGACAATTATTCCACAATGCCTTTTTAGTAAACGAGGTGATGCATGAAAGAAGCCTTAGTTCCATCTGCACATGCAGCAGCACCACAATTGACATGGACTGTTGCTGAAGCGAGCTGCTGGTCTGATCCAATCAATTCCAGTGCAGTTGGGCTTGACCTGAAAAAAGGGGCGGGAAATCAGGGCCGCTGGTGGGCCTCCCTTTCTTTGCGACCCTCGTCTTCTTTCTCGCTGTTGGAGACTCGAGACCACCGACCCGTGGGTCCCTCGGTCTCTCTATCCTCACTGGTGGCTGTTACTTGACCAGGATTCTATATGCAGGGTATGTGGTCTGTTTGACCAGCTAGTAGGCTGGCTGCCCGTGTGTGGCTTTGTTGGGTGAGGATTAGGATTAAGATTTCATGCTTACCCATTTGAATTTGATTTGGGACCGCAAGGAGACGCTGAGGAGCCCTGAATAGCTTCAAAGACTAGGAGAATTTAACGATTAGCATGGCTTGTCGGGGCCATCCGCGCGGATGATGTAATTCGGTCCTGGCCATTAATCAATCTGATTCGAACCGACAAGCAACTGCAATCCAAGTGGAGTGGGCTCTGGCGTACGCTTTTTCTGGCTCCCCTTAATCTGGGTCCCGTTGGCCAAGTTTCTATCTTCGATTTGACGCATGCATAGTAGTTAGTGATTTAAAGGGACAATCAAGGAAGTGACCATCAATCAATCAATCAATATATAGGGATTGCGACAGTAAGGATGCATACTCCTCATTGCCTGAAGGGGGGTCATTGAAACTACCATTCATCGCCCAATTGGACTCTTTCTAGGGCTGGACTTTGATAGTACTATGATGACCATCCATTCCATTGGATAGGAACTACTACTTGATTAATCGCTTCTCGGAGTTGCACTCGCAGTGAAATGCGTAAGGGTGCTTCTTTTTACTAGGATGGAGAGGTTAATTGTGCATCATCACAATCAGGGGAGAGAAGAGCCCTGGCTGTTTGCTGTTTGCTGCTTCGGATTTAGCTTTGTATATGAAACCTCCCAAGACATGCCCACGACAATCCATTATGATCAAAGTCAAGGACCCATCGATCGCTATTTGGTGACCCTCTCCTACTCTGTTTGTGGTCAACCAACAGGAATATTTGAAGTAGTGTATCCCAGGGGGGGCCGAAGACAGTATTTACTTCTACCAAAATAGCGATTGTCAATTAGTTTATTTTTGCTGGATTAACTTGTAAAGTAGTCAATTCCTCTGCTTCCTTGTCTTGTTCTTTGCTTTTCCTCCTTTCCCCTCCTCCCCCCCCAACTTCATTCTATCTTCCGGGGTTTTTTCAGTGATCTGCTTCACAGGGTTGAAGAGGAAGCCCATCACCATCCCTCCAAAGAGATAATAATAATATTCTTGAGGAGAGTTAGAGCCGTGCGCCCCTTGGAGCCGCGGGTGGTGAAACCTCGAGTGCCTTTTGTTCAACTCAACGGCCGGCCTTCCCTTTTTGCCGCCTCCTGTTGGTGCTCCTTCTAACTTCCTACTTACTCCCTCCCTCTTCACACCCTCTTCTCTCCCTCTTCCTTATCCTCTTCCCCCCTCTTCACGTCTTTCATCCTCTTTCCTCCTCCTCATCTCTGTCTTCTCGTTACTCCCCGTGGTTGTATCGTGACTCTCGTTTATTGTTTGCAAATCCGCCACCTCCTTTTCATCTGAACCCCAGCACGCCTCGGGTACCTCCCTCTGCCATCACCTGCATCTCTCTTGCATTGTGTACTTGGCCGCTTTGGTTGGTAACCGCTGGTCTCACCGCGTCTGGATATTGGGGTTGTCACCTTCGAGACGTGCAGTTCACGCTCGGAGCTTCCTCGCGGGCGCGAGGCTTCTTTTCGGCTTGAAGATAGGCTTAAAGTTACCCTTCAAGGTATGTTTAGATGTTCAATTAGCTCTGGTCGCTTTCCTTGTTCCACCTCTATCATCCCGCCGCCTATGGAGTAGGTGGTGGAATATAGTTCCCTTGGGGAAGAAGAGGCTCTACCGCATCCACGGGTCACCAGATTGACAGACCCAGCCTTGCACATGCCACAGTTCTCATGCTGACTGGCCTGCAGTGAACTGCACCTGGAGATTAATCTGGGTGTGTTGTCGGGACCGCCCTCCCCTTCACATTGTTTGCTCCGTGGATTTCACGGTTGCCCCCCCCCTCATCCCTCATCCCCCCCTGAGGAACCCCCCTTCCCCTCCTTGGGAGTTCCGCGTCTCGGTTTCCACTCCGGCCCAGCTTAATGGCCTCTTATGAAAAGTGAGCCAGACTTCATTTCCTTGTCCCCCTCTTTCCTACCTATCCACCCACCCCCTTTGGCCCTTCAGCCCCGATTCACTCACAGGTTCTCGCCTGTGATCAATTCCGGGCGCTGCTGACGCGCCCGCAGGATGTACTCCCCAGACCAGTTCATGAATCCGGGGCCTGCCCCCCGGCCCCCAGCCGACCGCCCACAACTCAACCTGCCTACCAACCCCTCCAACAAC